CAGATGTGTGGGACAGAGAAACTGATTGTTTGTCCTCTCCTCTCTGTCCATCCCCCTATTTTTTTATTATTTATTTATTTTAGTTCTGAAGCAACTAGCCGCAATGGCTTGTATATAACGTCTGAAGAAAAAAAATATATTTTTTTTAAGAGAGGATAACCATAGAACTATACTAACTGACGAAAACCCTTAACTATTTACAAATGCTGACAGGTCTGAGGAGCATGATGAAAGACAAGAAGAGAGAAAGGGAGCTCCGTCCGCGACCGGTGGCAGATGAGAGGAACTGAGCGGGGCCGGACCGTGCACAACAGTTGAAAGGCACGAACGCAGCCAGAGGGAAGCCGCGCATGCGCGGTCCAGCGGACCACAGCTCTGACAGTTCTCCGATTCGCAGAGCCAGGACGGGGTCCGACACCAGGAGTGGAGCACCTACGGGGCCACTCGAAGAAGAAGTGCTGATTACTCTGACTACTGTAAATTGTTTTTTAATGTTCAAAATGAACAAGGAAGAGAAACTGTTTAAATTTGCGGTAGTAATCTACACTCCACACATAGTATGTTTGAAGAGAGTGACATCTGCTGGGTAATATTTTTCCCATACACTGCACTGTTGAGATAAAAATCATATTACAAAATGTCTTCCTCTGTTTTACAAGAAATCATAATATTATTAAAACTGAAGCTACTTTGGAACTGTATGTTACTTTTCATCAGAATTTGTACTTTATATAAGAATAAACTCTTAAACACTACTTGCTGCATTTAGAAGGCCAAAGTCAACTCTTCAGGACAGAGACCTTGTCATACCATTAACCCAGTATATCACATAGTACATTTTGGGCACCATAATAATATTTGCTTTCCATAACTAATCCCGGAATTGATGCAAATTGAGTGCCAAAGGAGAAGTACAGTAAAACTCCATTGGTACGGCATCTGATGGTCCAGCACCCCTGATGGTCCAGCACCATCAGGAACCCGGAAGTGCTCAGGGCAGCCGGACCATTGGAGCTGCTCTGACCCCAGCTTCCCTGATTCAGCCGCTGCTAAAACTGACCAGCGGCTGAATTGAGGAAGCCGGGGGCAGGGCAGCTGGGGGGG